GTGCTTGTTAGACCTTATCCTACAGATGTGAGATTGGAGTAAAATATTCTTGAAACTCTGGTGTTGTCTCGGCTATGCTCTGCTGTGCTGGCAGTAGCGGCGAGTTAATGACGCTCCTTTCGCTGCCTGTGTGGGCGCGAGAAACGCGTGGGCGGACTGCGGCACGCCATCTGACCGAATAAGAGCCTTCCTCTCCGACTCTCGCATCAGGGTGTGGATGGACGGGGAATTCTGTCCATTTCACTGTTAAAGCTCATATCTGTATCATGTCAAAGCCAGCCATTTAGAAGCTAAACAGCACTACAGAGCCCCACTATAATAAGCAGCAGATTTAACACATGAGCAAGCATGAGCGCAGTCAGATGTGTGGATGAGCGCCGGAGAGCACCGTGTCTGTGGGCGGTGATCATTGCTCAGTGACGCGGCTAGAGCAGCGGGATTCCCCGGCACCTCATGTCAGTCTGATCCGGGGACTCTTGACTGGATGGTGCGCTCATAAAGCACAGCGCGGACTGTTGTTGTTGTTGTTGTTGTTGTTGTTTTAAAAGACTGACTTGCAATCTTGTTGTCATTCACCATTCTTTTTTATATGACTTTTATGTGTTCATTTTAAATAGAACTTTACAGGATATTCATAGAACACGAATAGAATGGTTTTATTTTGCGTTAATTTTGTAGCCTATAATTAGGACATATAAACTGTTAGCTAAGCCTTCTCCTCTTAATGTCACCATAAATTGTCACTTTAAAGCATGTGGCATGAGCTCAGCTGATTTATTTAACCCCTTGTCTATTAAAAGTGCAATAACGTATTGGTAATTGTGCTTTGATATTTTATTGCGCATTTGGATTTAAATTGAACAAATAAAACTACACTCAAATTCTTCTGTCAACACAATTGCCATTTAACAGTGTTCGTGTGTTGCACTGGTTCAAGTCACTTAGCAAAAGTCAAGTCAATCACTGAAACAACATATGCCACCTTGAGGAACAAATATAAGTTTACACTGGTAGGATAATGACACTAAACCACCGTTGTAAAAAAAAAATATAAATAATTAAAATAAAAAATAAACACTGCTATTATTGTACAAGACACCAGGACCATAAGGAGTTGGTTTTTTTTATGAGTTACTATGAGTAACTGTCATAACTCACAATTCTAAGTCGACAGAGACCTCTGGTGGTCTATCTATCTATCTATCCATCCATCCATCCATCCATCATTCTATCTATCTTTGTTTTATTTTCCACAGGACAATGCTGTGGAGCATTCATTTTGCTTTGCTTTAACAACACTTGATGAAGCTTCGGGAAAGATGCGTTATTCAATAAACTCATGTAATCAAACTCATACCGTGACTTTATCTCTTGCTTCCTGCTCCTCCGTGCATCTGCCTGTCTTTTAGGCTGAAAGTGGAGTTGACATCACTATAGTTTGGATATCAGAAAAAAAAGTAGTGTTGACTGTTTTTTGGTATCAGACAAATTCTCTTGACTTATTTTGGCTATAAAACTTGAACTGGTTTTGGATAGTAGGCAGAAAAAGTGAAGCATTGTCCAGGGAGAGTCATGGATGTACTCATAAGGATGGACAAAATTTACAAAAAGGAGCTGTATGTTGCATATGTTGATCAAGTGTCACCACGCTGTGAGTTAGCAGAATTAAAAAGCAATCAATCAATTATATCAATTTCTTTAACTTAATAAACTCCCAAGTTTAAGTTAGTAGAAATATAATTTGCACTACACGTCATTTGAATATGTCTTAAAATACTGAGTAAACTAACTCATATAATTTCACTTCACCCTCTCCCTTTCGCACCGAATAACTTCCTAGTGCTTTCATGACTGTAAAAGTGAACACAATATTTGTAATCCTTAATCTGTGCTATATATTATAGATATTTCATAACATGGATATAATAATTTCTAATAATCATAATTTCAAGGTTATCGTGCAATTTAGAGAAATGTGTGAGGTGGTGCAGCTGAATCCCACGATGTGCTTTAGGTACTATCTTACGTACCTCCCAACAAGTATCGGAACTGCTACATTTTACTGCGTGAAGTGGTAGATGTGATCATGGCCCCAGTAGTTAGAAGATCATGGATACCCTATCTTGAGGAGAAAACATTTCATGAACTCTTCCCTGATGGTGTCATTCCAAAAATGCATTTTTAGTGCACTATCCTTCACTTATGCTGAAATACACTCTTAAAAATAAAGGTGCTTCACGATGCCATAGAAGAACCTTTTTGTCTAAATGGTTCCATAAATAACCTTTAACATCTAAAGAACCTTTCTGTTTCACAAAAGGTTCTTTGTGGCGAAAGAAGGTTCTTCAGATTACAAAAAGGTAAGAAAGAGATGGTTCTTTAAAGAACCTTTGACTGAATGGTTCTTTGTGGAACCAAAAATGGTTCTTCTATGACATCGCTTGAAGAACCTTTTGAAGCACCTTTATTTTTAAGAGTGTATGGGCCATTACTTCATTTGTCTTGCATGCGCTTTGAGGCAAAACATCAATATTTCAAGAAAGTGTCTACCGTTATTTGCAACTTCAAGAACATCACCAAATCACTTTCTAGAAGGCATCAGCTGAGACAATGCTGGGAGCAAGCTCAGAAGAAAAGCATTGGATATGAAGTGTGCCATGCCTCAGGAGCTTGTGATGTCCCATCAAACACCCTGCCTTCTTTAGTATTGGCCACATTGGAATCACAGATTGGAAGACCTCTGTCAAATGAAGTCTTACAAAAAACAAATTCCATCACAGTTAACAATACAGCTTATATGAGGAATACTGGGGAGCTGGTCTTGTCAGCGTCCTTAATCTCCATTAACTTAGCCAGAGGTGGTACTCAAGAACCACCAGGTTGGCCATTGCTTGACCGATTGCTTGGGTCGTTGACTAAGTTGCGCACAAAGCAGATAGGTTGCATTGCGCAGCCCCTTAAAAGCAGAATGATCTGGGCAGACTCATGCAGGGCACAGAGGAGTTTGGTCTAGAAAACCTGGAGGGCCGCCATCATATAGAGAGTGGGACCACCTTGACCAGCAGCAGAGTAGGCTCTGGCCATTATGGCCAATGATGCTCTGCAGGGCTCAGAAAGGGTGGACAGCCTCGGCGGTCCATCCCGGGGTCGTGGAATGCAAAGATGAATGGCAGCGGCCTCTTCGAGGGGAGGGATTTCTCCCTTCTGCTCGGTGCCATCACGGAAGTGAGGGAAGCCGAGACTGAAAAGTTGACGCAGGCCGAGAAGGTCTGCGCCACAACATAGAAGGTCCATTGAGAACTTCCAGGAAACAATGGGGCAGGTCTCTGATGGGGGACTCGCCGGCGGCGCCATGGCTATAGAAACCGTTCATCAAGTCGGCTATGGGCGTCTCATCTGGAGCCGACCACTTCACACTGAGGTCCTTGTGGTCATTGGTGATGACGTGTATGAGCATGGTGTTCAGACCGGGTCTGGCGTCACCTGCACAAGCACATCTCTGTGAGCGCAGCCTCTGCGTGAGCTTGCCAAAGCAGGCGGCACACTCAAAGTGCTCATCTGAGGAATGCAGGAGTGCCCACATGAGCCACACCTGTGGCACGCCATTTTGCAGCAAACACTGCTGAAAATATGCTCTTTTAGGTGAAATATGCTCTAATAGTCCCGTCGGATAGCCGAGGGGAGAGACAGCATACTCAGCTGTGTGCAGAGTCCAGCAAGGAGATAATCTGATGAAATGGCATTCAGCACAGACCTATATAGGCAGTCGGCTCCACCCATTTTGGTGGGCTGAAATGCCCGTTTTGTTCAGCTGCACAAACGTTAACAAATCAGGCTTCAGTATTTGGAGAAAAACAGAACTTCCCCCAAGCTGGATTCCACGCTATGTGAGAGACCGTTTGAAAGGGAACAACAGTCATATTCAGAAAATAAATGAAAACAAATGTAAACAAATTTGGATATTTATAATCTTTCAACACTTCTAGCTATAACTGACATGTTTTGTAACATGAAGCACTTTGAGAAATATGCCAAATGAATATAATAGTGTTTAATGGGTACAGTCGAAACAGTTTCTAGATATCCTAAATGTATCAGCATATTCATAAGCTCTGCAGTTTATTTAGAGAGCAAAATTATTAAAGTAAAAATATTTGTTGGCAGATGTAGGAAGAAAATAAATGCTTAGATAAAACTGTTGATCAATATTGTAGAGATGAATTATTCTTCATTTTAATTGTTAACAAACTGTGGGCTTCTGCTGGCACTTTATACTTTGTAGCGTTTAACACTGCCTTTAATAAAATAAGGAACTATTATAAAATATGTAAATGGATTATTAAGGCATTTTAACATTTGCTTTAAGTGTTGTATTTATTGTATTGTATTTTAATTTTGTTAGGAAAAAACGTCCATACTATTGGTTAGGCTACATTACATTATGGATGAGTGTTTCAACTGTACCTGCTGGCATGGGTAATTGGAAAAAATCCACTTGTACTATTTACAGAAAATAAAAGCTATTTGTAGACATCCGAAAACTGCCGTATGAGGCAATGACTTTGCAGGCAGCGTTTTTGCACGAAGGCACCTCATGAAGCTGATTTCAGACAGGCTTCTGAGGCAGGTAACGGTTTAATGATCTACAACAAAATAGAACGAGTTTTTGTGATAACTAAACGAATATTTAATTACTATAATACTGATTTCTCGCTAAAAAATAACATCAAAAGTGCAAAAAGTTAGTCAGAAATATACATTTACACACAAACTGACCCCCAAACGCAACTTTCAGACGCCATCTTTATAATAATTAGCTCAACCGTCCAGTAGACCCTCACTGCAGAACACAACCGTCACGGAATGGAACGCACAGGATTGTGGGATATCAAAGAAAATTCGATCAGAAGAAGAAGGTACCTCCGGAAATATAATAGTTGAATAATTCATAGCTGAACCGTGTACGTTTCACACTCCAGACCAGTAGGTGGCCCGAAGGCAGCATTTTAGAGCTTTCGGACGCAGACATTGTTGGTCTTAGTTTTATTTGTAGACAGTTGAAAATATCGTGACGCCTTCCGCTTCCAACCCGTCCAGTTAACACAAGGCAGGAAAGGGTTACTTAAACGGAAGTGACGTTTCAGCGCTTGTGCCGTACTCGGAAGTGAACAAGAATGAAGAGAGAACTGGACAGTGAAAGAAGCTAAAGATAGGTGAGAAGACAGGCTGAGCGGCTTCAAACTCATCTTACACCCGAGTTTAACTTTCCTGTCTGTGCACTGTTCTTTTAGTGTAGTAAAAGCAGCAACGCTCGCTGTGGATGTTCTTCTGTTAGCATGCCCGCTAAAGCAAAACAGCTTCGTTAAGGAAGAGATTAAACAAATATAAAGAGTATTAAACATAAGCATTTACAACAACGAGCGCCGTCTGTAAACTCTCAGTGAGCAGCATTTGAAGAGTCGATACTCATGCACTGTATCAGGACTGAGTGTTCAGTAAGTTACAGACATGTGATGTTTGCATGTTTACGTTTCATTCTCTGGTACTTCCCTCATGGCTGTGATATGCTTTTATTGCTCAAAAAAGCTTCGTGACAGGTTACAATAAGAATGAATGTTATGTAGGTTTAACTGTGGGACTTGACATTTACGTCAGCTAACTTGCTGGCAGTAACAGTGATATGAGTTTTGATACGAGTCACTCCAAAATGCTAAATTAACTCATTAAATAGTGTACACAACAATTTGTTAATTCCACAAATTGTAAATGCATTCTATTTTTAACACGGTTTGGATGTAAAAACGTCCAAACCAGTAGGTTTCATGTGTATTTATATATATGTAACTATAAGCCATGAACCAAACTCAGATTAATTATCACAAACACCGAATCGAAACGAAAAGTATTTGAAAAATGGGCCAGGGAACGGCTCTGTGAACATGCTCATCATGATGCTTTCCAAGTGATGTTCTCGATTCACAATGGTGCAATATCAAACTATTAATTTACAATTATTGATTATGTGGATAAAAACAGTTTATTGCATCTTTTCAAGATTATTAGTTCATTTCAACTTCAAAATTATGAATTAGACTTTACTTCGTGTCGACAAACACGTATCAATGCTTAATCTCAATTTTGGATGGTAGGTCTATGTTGAAAGGTTAATATGTTATCATTAAAAAAATTCTATGGCGGAAATGAATGAGATTTTTACTTCTGGAACCCTGTGGTTGTGTTGTTGAGGTCCTTGTATATAGTATATAAAAAGTTTTAAAGGGGTCATATGATGCTATTTTAAAGATCATTATTTCGTGTATTTGGTGTAACAGAATATGTTGACATGCTTCAATGTTCAAAAAACACTATAATATAACTGTACATTATTGTAGGTCCTCTATGCCCCGCCTCTCTTAAGCATGTCGTTTTCAACAAAGCCCCCTCCTTTGACAAGCGCAGTCTGCTCTGATTGGCCAGCTGACCCAGTGCATTGTGATTGGCCGAACACCACAAGCACGCGTCGGAAATGTAACGCCCCTTACCATAATCGCGAGCTTCAGCTTTCAAAGTAAATATCAAGACAGTTAATAATCTCGTTAGTTTTACCGTCAGTTCATGCCCGAAAGGGCAACAGAGTCGCGTGACAGACACAGTGACTTTTATTTTGAAGTGTATTATTTGTTAGCATATACTAGAACATATGGTTTCAAATATAAGTACTTTGTTCAGATGTACTATTTTGAGTACATTGACAGATTTTTCTTCTCATTTGCAGGGGCTCAGAATGCCGCTGTGATTTGGAGATGTCTCTGATCGTCTGCCATGCTGAAGACCCCATATTGTGTTTCATTTGTAAATATGAGACCGTTGTTAAATACAGTGCATGCATGTCTAAGTCTGCTGCCACCCTGAAGTTCATGATGGATCTCTCCATGACTGTCTTAAGCGTGAGGGAGTGAACCCTTGGATATTTGAGCAAGATGGAAGGAGATATGGCTGTACAATGGGATACAATAGAGCCGCCCGTTGTTTCTCTGGCCAGTCCGTGTTATGGAAATGACAGCCATGTGATATCGTCACAAGGACCTGAGTGTGAACATGAGACGGTTGATGATTTTGATTGTGAGTTCCCTGATGAAGACTTTGATTTGGAAGTAGATGAGAATGAAGAGCAACATATCAAAACTGAAGATTTGAATGATGATCAGGTGCAAGATGGGATTTCTGAGAAAGACCAGGAGAAATGTGAAAGAGGGGGAAACACTGAATTAGAGACTGAGTTTAGAGACAATGGAGAGACTAGATCTCGCAGTGCTGGAACTGGTAGGAAAGGAAAGTCCAAAAAGGGTGGATCAGGGCAGGGGCCTTGCGATCAAACCCCGTCATGGACATCTCCATCTTTCATGTCTCATAAATCCTTCCTTGCGTCATCTGGGCCCGGCAGACACAAGCAGGTGAGGCGACGCAACCAGCATCTGCACAATCACAGCCGCGTGCGACAGAAAAACGGGATCCAGCTGGTCATGGTGTGTCGGGATTTCCTGGCAGATTTCGTCAGCCCCTGGTGCATTTCCTGCATCCATATGGTCGTGGAGCTCATCATCTCTTTGACCCACCGCTGTGGGGTTGCTGTTGAATCATCTGCACTTGCACTATACGACTTTGGAACACACATGCTTTACAAAGTGACAGATGTTCCAGGCATGACGCAAGATTTGAGGCGATTCCTGGACTGGAGCTGGTGTTCAGGTGTGGCTTTAATAGAGGGCATCAGCAGGTCTGCGCGCTGGGCTCGACATGCTCTTCTTTCCAGTTTGAGATTTGTTTGTGCTGCACTAAGCTCTGGCTCTCAGATGATGAGGTGTATTGTGGGAAGGCTGGCTGGAGAGAGAGGCAGGAAATGGTGGCTTGCCCTCCAGAGCAGCAGGGTTTGGAGGAAAGTGTCGGATCTGACCACGAGGATTCATGGGTGTTTCTTTAAAAAAGGCGTCATGAGTGAAAGATCAAATCCAGAGTCTCCCAACAGGGGGGCAGACAAGTGGCAACCTGGCGAAGAACTGCAGAGACTGCTGGCACTAGCAAAGGTAGTGCTTTGTGTTTTCATAGAGATGGAAGCATTCATGTCTGATAATATAAAATAATATTTTGAAAATGAATGATTCTCTATGTTTTAGGAGAAAACTGTATCATGATCTGAATGAGCTTATGATTGCAGCATCTGAGCAAAACGTATATAGTATATATTTATAAGTATACAGTGCTGCTTGAAAGTTTGTGAACCCTTCAGAATTTTCTATATTTCTGCATAAATATGACCCATCAGATTTTCACACAAGTCCTGAAAGTAGACAGAGAATCCAATCAAACAAAGGAGACAAAAATATATATTTTGTCATTTATTAATTGGGAAAAATGATCCAGTGTTACATATCTGTCAGTGACAAAAGTATGTGAATCTTTGCTTTCAGTATCTGGT